TTTTGGATTTTTTGCGCGTAAACAACACTTACACACTTACACATGTACATACGTAAATGACGTTCTAAGTACGCGTTAAAGTTAGTTTTAATAGCGAATTTAAATTTTTTGACCCAAAATACGGTAGCATTGATTTACGATGAAAAGTTATATAACATGATACTTATATAAGTTTTTTCAATTTTTTCACCACTCTGACTCATTGTCATCACCCGACGAAAAAAAGGTATATGTGGCCCACGTGTGGCCATAATGCTTATAGGTAGAGTAAATATTTAAAACTATATTCTAGATGACTATATATAAACTGATGGTTGGTGTGGCCTACATGCGGAACACAGAATACGCTTTACATAATCGTTCCACTTAATGTGGGATGCGTTTTAAATAAATACGTGCAAAAATAGATGTGGTTATCAAATGGGCGATTCAAATAAAACATCTTGCTGCATATAATTATTGATTTATATTTATATGATATATATTATTGATTTAATGTATTTAATAACATGCATATAAATATATATATATATATATATATATATATATATATATATATATATATATATATATATATATATATATATATATATATATATATATATATATATATATATATATATATATATATATATATATATATATATATATAACAATTTCAAAAACATAAAAGTTAAGACAGGAATATTTATCAATGATATTTCAGACCACTTTTCAGTGTTTATAATTTCACAAAAAACATCAATAAAATAGCAGGAAAAAATAAATTAAAAAGCGAATTATTAATGATTCATCCATTAATACTTTTATAAATCTTTTATCCACGACAAATTGGGAAGTTATTTTAAAAATTAAAAATGGTGAGGAAGCTTTTGATAGAATTCATAGCATATTTCAAAGCCACTATAATGAAGTTTTCCCAGTTATTAGTAAGTTTATCAAAATCAAATCCCAGCACAATCCTTGGATAACAACGGGAATAATGAAGTCATAAAAAAAACAAAAAAAACGATTATACGAAAAGTTTATAAAACACGGCTGCTTTACTCAATATAAAAGCGAGCTTGACGTCACCGTTATTTTTGTTTTTATTCAAAAAAAAAAAGTATTTCCGCAAAAAAAGTTTAAAAATGCAACTTTAAAATAATAGTGTTTTTTTTCCTATAAGCGCTTTCATCTTCAAATAAAAAAATTGTAAAAGACAGATCTTTTTTTTTAAATAAATATTTACATTAAACGGAATAAAAATATTAATGTCTAAATATTGCTAAAGATTTAGGATCACTTTTCTGTTTTTTGTGGTTTTTGCGAAAAACCTGTTTTGGGTTAACTAAGATTTCATAGCATAGCTACATGCCTCATTGTTGAAATTTGGAACATTTATAATTATTTATAAATGTTCCAAATTTCTATCTAATTTTTTATTAGATAGAAAATTAATTGTCCATTCTATCTAATTTTTGGTGCGGATTGCTTATTTTTTATTTTTTAACTATTTTTTAATGCATTTATATTTTTAATTTTATTATTAAATAATGAAAATCGTATTATTTTTGTAATCCGCACCAAATTATTGAAACTTCAACCCTTTCTGCATATAAAAATCAAAAAGTTCTTTGCTGTACTTTTAGATATGTTATGAAATATGTTTTCAAACTTGGCTAGTTTAGAAACAAATTTTTCTAGTTTGAAAAACATTGTTTACATTTCGAAACAATCACGTGACCTTAAATTCTGAAATATGTAATAAATTTTATAAAAACAACTTTTTTTTTTTTTCTTTCTTTCTCTGTTTACATAACATAAGAATTTTAAAAAGCCCACTACATAATATAAAATTTAACAAAACAAGTAAAACAGATAGGGGCTCAAAGAAGATGAGGATGACAGAACGTCATCGCAATCTTTTTATAGAACCCCTTTAACAAGATTTAATTATAATCTCGTAATATGACATGCAAAATAAAAATTTCAATAAAATATCATAACAAAATGCGCAATCTGCTAATATAATTTGTCAAGCTACAAACAAAAGTTGAAACAAAACAAAAACGTATATTTAACAAAAACTTTCTTAGCGAGATGAATTTTCAAGTATAAAATAAACAAAGTTGCGCGGTTTTTTCTTTAAAATGGTGTATAAATCTAATATCAACTGGATGTTCAAAGATCGTTTTCTACTTAAAGAACTGATTAGTGGATCAACTCATTATAAAACAGTTTTTTATGAGAATAAAAACACATTATCAAACAATTTAAATTAGCTATTTGTATATTTAAAGAAATGTTTTATTTTTTGTGAGAAAAGATTGATTTAAGTGCCATTAATAATTCTATTACCAAAAGCGAGATTAATTTAAAAACTTTAACTTAGTTTTGGTCATGAATTATTTTATTTGAGTCTTTATTTATTAACAACCTAATGCCATATTATTAAAACTGTATGCATAGAAACGAATTGCTTAAGTTTATTAAAGGCTTTAGCTTAAAATGTTTAGACTAAATATTTCAAAATTGAGTTCTGGTTTTATTTTATAATGCATTGAATTTATCAACTTAGTGAATTATTTTCTAAAACAAGAACTTCTAGACTTAAAAACGTGCTCATTTAACAGCTAATCCCCTCTTTAACAACATTTTTCATAATTTTGCAAGAAATGCGGTTTGCTTGCAGACTTTAATAAAAACTGTTTTAGTTTTCCTTTAACAATTAAGTAAAAATTTTTTATTTTAATAATAGTTAAACAATGAGTGTATATAATAATAACTATAAGAAATATATTTTTTTTGATTTTTTTTTTTATAAAAAGTAACAACAAATTACTAAAATTTAACCAAGTTCATCATTTGTTGCGCTTTTTAAAAACTAAAAAAAGTTTTTTTACTATTGTATTTAATGTTGTATAATAAAACATTTTATTGTTGTTTTTATTCCTTTTACAAAACAAAATTATCTCTAATATTTTAAAAGTTATAAATGTCTTAGTAACAACCCCTAAGTCAAAATTTTCACAAAAAAAACAAGAAGCCGTAAAGCTCACTCTGAAACTGCCGTGAACAAAAAAGAACTTATGAAAACGAAACAAAATATAAAAATTACAAACGGCTCTTCTAAACAGTTATAAAGTACTCAAAAAGACAGTATTACACTAATTAGTTACTTAACTGCAAAAATGATGTACAAAAAATGTGGCGCTTAATGAAAGAGGTGGTAAAAAAATCATAAGCACTAATGGATTTCCGAAAAAACTCATTAAAAATAATTGTGAAATTACTAATGACTTTTTAATCGCTAATTCTTTCAATCATGCGTTTGCTGATACGGGCCCAAGTTTGGCCTCTAATATAAAAATTAGTAAAACTAGCTTTGAGTCATACTTAATCTCTAATAATAACCATATGGAATATGTAAGTTCTGAAAAAGAACTACTTGATGCTGTAAATTTATTAAAACCAAATAAAGGTAATGGAGTTGATAATATAAGTAGCAATATAATAATTAAATCAATTTTTTATTTAAAAACTCCGCTTCTGCACATTTTCAGTCTTTCATTAGAACAAGGAATCTTTCCCGATAAACTAAAGGTTGCAAGGGTGATGCCGGTTCTAAAATCTGGAGATGCAACATGTATTGCAAATTATAGACCTATTTCAATACTACCATGCTTTTCAAAAATATTAGAACATATTATGTATAAAAGACTCTACTATTTCTTAGATATTAATAACATTCTTTATAATAAACAATTTTGATTAAAATAGGATCACTCTACTAATCAGGCAATTGTTCATCTTGTTCATGATATTCTTAAATCTTTTGATGAAATAAAATATACTTTAGGCGTATTTATTGATCTCAGCTTTTGATACTGTAAATCATCATTTTTTATTCACCAAATTAAAAAACTACGGTATTAAACACTCGAACCTTAAATGGTTTAAAAGCTATCTGCCAAAAAGACAGCAATATATTTCTCTCAATTACGGAAAAACTAACAACATAAATATATTTTGTGAAGTACCACAAGGATCTATACTAAGACCGCTCTTATTTCTAGTATAAAGCAATGATCTAAGCAAATCTTGTAATGACGCAATCTTGTTTGCAGATTATACTAATCTATTTTATGCCCACAATGATATAAAAATGTTATTTAAAATTGACAAAATATACTTTTTTCCATCGCTATCATGAACGAGACAAAATTCCATTAAAACTTTCAAGTCTTTGTATTAACAATTGCGAAATATAAAGAGAGGTATTATTAAAATTTTTAGGAGTACTTCTCAACGAAAATGTAACATGGAGAATTTATATAAAATATATTGAAGGTAAAATATCAAGTAGCATCGGCCTATCATGATATTTAACTCTATATAGGTACGTGGAAAAATACGTTTTAGGGAACCGAAATTTTTGCTAAAAAACTGTTCGACGATTTTTGAAGTCCATTTAGAGTGAGTGTGCTAAAAATGTTTTTTGTATTATAACTTTTTAGAATTCTGTATCATCTTAGATACTTTTTAATTTTTAGTTTGGCTTTATATTAGTGTTTTCATTTTTGGAAGTTGTTAACGTTTATATCAAATTTATTGGTGTCAAAAACTATGTTGTTGTTCGTTGATTAATATACTATCGAAGGAATGTAGTGCTGACTTTTAAAACTATATGCGATTGTAGATATATCTACTTTCTCACTACCTGCCAAATTTTATTGAAAAATAGCGATGCTCAAGTACACTTCTGCAATGCTCAGAAAAGGTACTTTTGTCGGTAATTCTGCGCCTTATATGGCAGAGGGGGAGCAACGTAAAAAATATATAAAATCGTATGTCAAAGTTACAATAAAATATATATAAGCATAATTATATATATAGTATATATATATATATATATATATATATATATATATATATATATATATATATATATATATATATATATATATATATATATATATATATAAATTTAATTTTAGAAGATCTATTTTAAAATTATATTAATACTAAGCAAATTGATAATTTAAATGATGTTATGTGTGAAAGAATTGTTGGGAGGAATCTCTGCCACGAATGGTATGATACAGATTCAACAATGGCAATCTTGTATAATGGCAGAGTTGAAAAACTTAAAAAGACAACGAAAGGCATCTTTTAAACAATTTCTTACTGGGCTACAGATAAAACTTATACAGAAGGTGTTGACCATAGCATGAAAAAATTCTATCTGTTGCTGATTTTGTATCAGGTGAGTTAGTATTTTCGTAATTTCTTATGCTATCTTATTGTGGAACTTGCAAAATTAATATACAGCAAGAATTAGAACATACAAAATAAAGGTTAAACAAGTAGTGGAATTTTTGTTGTAAATGTACTGCAAATAGTGGAACTTGTGATATAAATTTACAGGAAGTAGTGGAACTTGCAAAATATATGTACAGCAAGTAGTGGAACTTGCAACATAAACGTACAGCGAGTAGTGGAACTTGCAAAATATTTGTACAGCAAGTTGTGGAACATGCAACATAAACGTACAGCGAGTAGTGGAACTTGCAATATATAAGTACAGCAAGTAGTGGAACTTGTAACATAAATCTACAGTGAGTAGTGGAACTTGCAAAATATATGTACAGCAAGTAGTGGAACTTGCAACATAAATCTACAGCGAGTAGTGGAACTTGCAAAATATATGTACAGCAAGTAGTAGAACTTGCAACATAAATGTACAGAATTTTGCAGTTAGTGAAACTTGCAAAATTAATGTGCAGCAAGTAGTGGTACTTGCTACTTTTTTGCTAGACGGTTTTTGGCTTACCTTCACGTTTTGTCTATCGTTAACAATGATTGTTATATAGTTTCATTACTGGAAACTTATCTCATTAACTAAAATCCAAAACACATAATTGTTGTTTGAAACCATATATAAATGTATAAAAAAATTTTTAGTCGGAGGGAGGATTTGTCATCTTCCTCAGCAAATATGAAGACTGATGCATCTTGTAATACTACTACTCAAATTAGGTAAAAATAATTTTATATTAAAATAAAACATATAAAATAATAGCAATTTTTATTTTAGAAAACGTCATTTTAAAATATTTTTAATTTGTATAGGTCAGAAGGGGTAACCGCTACTCCCTTCTTCAAAAATAAGTACTCTGATGCATCTTGTAATACTACTACTGTAATATGGTAAAAATAATTTTATATTAAAATAAAACATTAAAAATAATAGCAATTTTTATTTTAGAAAACCTAATTTAAAATTATTTTTTTTAGGTCAGAGGGGGAAGGATACGCCCTTTTCTCATGTCTTTGTGTACACCACTACTTTTTGTTTTAAAGATGTAAAAAAAAGTTATTCATGATCTATTGGATGTATATTTTGAAATAAAGATAAAAATAATTATGAGAATGATTGTTTTTTTAAATTAGGGTGTGTTAAATTTTAACACCCAACGTCCACCCTATATTTTTAATGAACCTCTGATATTTGGCAGTGAAGTGTAATAAAATTGTAACAACTTTTTGCATATGAAATAGACTGGTTTCCTAAAGAAACACTTTTTTATTAATAAAAGTCTCTTTTTATTGACCTCAAAGATGGCGTTTTTGTGCGCCCGCCGACACCCTTCCAACTTTTATTTACTAAGTTAAATATACTAAATTTCTACCAAATAAATATTTATCATCTTCTAATTTTTATGTTCAAAATTAATAAAAGTATTATTCCAAAAACTTTTGATCTCTTATTCAAAACTAATAAGAATAAATACTTAACTAGACATTCAAGTAATACCTACATACAACCCGTAAGTTATTATGCGGCAACTGAGTTTTCAATTGTAATTAGAGGACCAAAGGCATGGAAGAAAATACTAACATCTGAACTTTAAACTCTTACATTGTTAAAAGAGTTCAAGGCCAAACTTAGACAGTTATTACTAAAAAATGATCTACCACAAAACTATTTCTAAAAAGCAAAATATCCTTATGATTGATCTATCAACTAAATGAGGAGTATGATAATATTAGCAACGCTTGAGTTGAATGCACTTTTGACTTTTCAAATTTATTTATGTTTTTGTTGTTTTAACATGCAATGTTGTTCTTTTTACTTTTTATTTTTTGCTCCTTAATAATATGTTTTATTTATCACTTTACTAATTTTACGTTTGTTTATTTTATATTGTCAAGGAAATGCTTAAATTAAATCTAAAAAATTCGTTCTGTATTAGTTCTGTAGACATAACTAATCTTATGAATCATGCAATGAAAAAAATCAAAACCTGAGTTATTTAAATTTATTTAAACCATTTATTCTCGTTTTCCTCTAATAATTTTCGATAGATAAATAGTTTATTATGTTTATTATATTAAATAATTATTTTTAATATATAATAGAAAAATTTGTTATGACCTATCATTGTTATCACTATTAAAAACAAATTCAATATTTAAGCGCCTATAATATTCTCGTTAGGATTTTATAAAAAACTCGAAACCTTGATTTACTCACTAGAATTTAGTTTTAACCACACGACGTATTAAAATATTCTTTATCTTCGTTTAACTCTGATTACAGTTTTATTTCGTTAAGTATAACTCTGTTTAGGATAAGTATAACTTAAGTATAACTCGTTAAGTATAACAACAAAATTTTATTCGTTAAATATAACTCTGATTTACAAATTTTATTAAAAGTTTATTTTGAATAACAATTCTCAATTATATTCATTACACAACCGCTTAAACATACTTACAACTATGAATAGAAAATTATTAAAACCACATAATAACATGGAATATTTTAGAGTTTACTACTATGCATTGCAATAAAACTGGAGGTCACAACTTAGCACGTATTTATTTAAGGATTACACCACACTAAGTGCAATAATTATGTGTGCCATATTTATTATCAGCATGTATACCAATCATCAAATGGAATATAGTTTTACAATTTTATTACACTTGTAAGCACTACGGCCACATGTGGGTCATATATATCTTTTCTGTCGGGTTGTTCGGATTTTTGTGCCCAGGCTTTGCTTCACAAAAGGTCAACTAAAACTTTATCATATTTATTGCATATTTAATCTACACTTTTTTTTGAATTCGAAAGTTTCTTGTTTCCAGAGCCTTATTTTTATTGTTTATTGAATTCAATTTTTTCTCCAAACTTTTTACTTTGTTGTTAAAAGTTTTGTAAATTGTACTGTTACGCATTTCGAAAATATCTTTCCTATTCACCAGCTATTGTAAAATTTTCCGCCTTTTTAAATTTCCTAACAGTTGAAACGCGTTTGTTCACAGTGAATATTGAGAATGAATTTTCTCTTTAAAATGTCTCTTTAAAACCTATGGTCTCTTAAGATGGTAGCCCTATGAAAAACTATTTTCAAGCATCAAAGTTATATTTTCAATAAAACTAAGTAATTAACAATAATTATGAAACTAGATAGAAAATCATAGAAATGTATATATAAGTGCCTCGCTTGCCTCGATATTTTATTATAAAGTGTGAAAAAAACGAAAACATTAAAATTCAATTTCTCAAAAGTAACAAGATCAAATCTGCAAATTTGGTATGGTAGTTCTTTTGTTTGTATAAAATTAATTTTTAACAGAATTTTTAATCATATCATTTAAAAACAATAATATAAGTCGTTATATAAAAACGATGTAAGAAGCGGGAAAAAATATTGTTAAGAAGTAAAGTTTTCTCTACGGTCCGAATAAAATTAAATTTTAAGACCCTAACAAAATAACAAGGAAAAACATACATCATCATACTTAACAATATTATCTTGAAAATTTTAGTTTAATTGCTTAACTTAAACTTAAACTTAAACTTCATTTCACAACTTTAATTCACAACCAATATAAACAGTTTAATATGACAGATTATATGATATAGCTCTGGTAGCTTTTAAGGAATATTTATAGTATAAACACTCCTTAAAAGTTACCAGAGCTATAAGAATCTGTTTTTTCAGTATCTAAGTATTACTTATGAAAAGATTTTTTTTTCTTCACTTTTTGCATACAGAAGTTGATTAACGACGTTTGTTTACAATTCGCTTTTAGTCTTTTAAAACCAGTTTTGAAATAGTCACTGATCCTTACATTCCAAAGTAACTTAAAACAGATTTCACCCTTTCACCAATATATAATTTTATGTTGGTATTCTTGATCATCAAGTTTAGCGCCGTGAAAAGATATTGCCCAAACTGCTTTCTTTATAGCATACAAACTATGAATATTGTTTCTAATTGGTAAACCATTATAGTTTTGGAGAGAGTTTATTACTGATTCTGTAAGTTTACTTTTTTAATGCTGTCTTTTTATTTAAATAAACAAGATTTCTGAGGCGAGTACCAAGACGTTTTTACACATGACTGATTCCTGAACAAATCTTAATTTTTTTTCAAAATGAATTTTATTTTTTTACCTTAAACATATTTTAAAAGATTGTTTGTAGTTCACACTTAGAAAAGTAATGCTTTCTCTTTAAGCAATCTAATTGTTTGTCTTGCAGAACATATATTTTATTCATAACTTTTTCAGAAAAGGAAACTTACCATAGATTTCATTTCTGTAACTTATTTTTTACTAAAATGATTGTAAACTGAATAATTTATAGGGTTATAACGCATTAGAATGGTTGGGGATTTTAAATCATGCAGCAATTCTGTTTTTTCTTGAACGTGTTTAGTTTTAAAGAAAAAACAGATGTCGGGCAATAGTTGTTTACACCATTCCCCCCCCCCCCCTCTTTTAAATCTCGTCGTTATTTTGGTAACTTTAAGTTAATCTGAGAAGATTCTCTGTCTGATTAACTTAAAGTTACAACAATAAATGCGCCTGATTTATTTTTAGTTTACCATGATTTCTCACACAATTTGCCAAGTAAGTTTGAAATTGCTTCTTTTTTTGTCATACATCTATTCAAAAGAAATGTATAAAAACACTTTTATTGCATTAAAAAGTGCCGTGCAAGTGACAACTCAATTCAACCTCCAAAACCTTCTAAAGATTAAAAAAGATTAAAGAGTAAAAGCGGGTCAAATAAGTTTTTATTTATCACGGTAAAAAGATTTCATTTTTTTTTTTTTTCAAGTTGTAAAGACTTTTGAATTGTATTTAAATATAAAAATCAAATTTATTTTCAAAAAAATTTTTTCAAGAAACTTGATTTATTTGGAAAAAAAAATTTTTTTTTAATTATTTTTTTTATTTAGGTGCCCATTAAATCTTTCGGTCTTATCACAGAAAAGCATTTGAAAGAACGCTTCTTTCCTTATCGATGCTATAAAACTTACCCAGAGGTGGCGTTGAATAACGGATCTCTATTTCTGAGGCTAGCGTACTAACCACTGCACTTCGACTCCTCCTTTTTCATTCTATTCTACGGCTGCATATTTCAATATACACTCCTGTTTGGGGAGGAATGAAAAGTGCAAATAAATGGGTTATCAAAAAAATACTTAATTTTAAAAATACAACCATTTATGTTAATTAAAAATCAACCAATAATAAAATTTAAAAAAAAAATAAAAAAATAATTTTATTTATGTGATGATGTTAAATCTTTAAGAGGCTTTGGAAGTTGAGTTGTCACTTGCGCGGCACTTTTTAATGCAATAAAACTCAGTGTTTTTATACATTTCTTTGGAATAGATGTATGACAAAGCCAAACCTTGCATTTGGAATTTTCGGTTTGATATTATTCACTTTTTTGACTTGCTTAAACTTTTCTAAGAACATCAGGACACTTTTATACTTGACTTAGTTTGCTACAGCTGTTATTGTTGGAGTTAGTGTTGTTAAAAGATTTATCTGCTGCTCATCATCAAGATCAAATTTACGTCAACATTACGTTGTTTCCTAGCCTGATTTGCTTTATTTTTATTGTCACTCGATTTTCATCTTGCTGAGCGAAAACAAACCAGTCTTTTGAAACCCAGAGTGACTATTTGCGTGCATGTAAAAACTTCAACAGAGGTTTAAATGCTGAAACTTGAACAGAATGTTTTTCTTGCAGTTTACTAAAACATTCTTTTGACAAACTGCTGAACTTTGTCTTTGCACAAAACTCTTAAAGTAATATAATATTATGTCAAATTTTGAACCCCCCCCCCCCCATCCTCCTATACAAAAAAACTACGCAACAAACTTAGCCTAATATTTCGTTATTAAAGCAATAAAACTCAAAAAAAAAAAAAAAAATTGGAGGTCAATTAAAGTTGACTGACGTCAACTTTAATTGACCTCACCCCTCCCCCGCATCAACAATTGTCAAAAAAACCCTTCAAAGAGCACAGATTACCAAACTTTTATGGGTTTAATATAAAATATACTTTTCACGACTAAATACAATTAAAAGCTGGTGCCACATCATTTTATAACTCT